CCTAGGCCAATTTTCAGCTTTCAGCGCTGTCGCACTTTGAATGACAGTTGCACAGCCATGCATATTAAATTTTTATAATTTTTTTCACACAAAATAGAGCTTTCTTTTGGTGGTATTTAATCATCACTGGGGATTTATTTTTTTGCACTATAAACAAAAAAAAAAGCAAAAAATTTGGAAAAAAAACGTTTTTCTTTGCTTCTATTATAAAATTTTGCAAACAGGTAATTTTTCTCCTTCACTGAGGTGCGTTGATGAGGCTGCACTGATAGGCAGCACTGATGAGCCCTGTTGACATGCATTGGTGGGCATTGATGAGGAGGCACTGATGATGAGCACTGCTGGGCGTTACTGATAATTAGTGCCCTGATTCAGTGCAGATCTGCTTTGTGATATTTCCCAGTTATCAGCAGTACTTTCCTCACACTGTGACAGCGTGAGGAAAGTGCTACCAATAACCTGCAACTGTATTCACTTTGTGATCAGTTGTGTCATTGGACACAGCTGATAATGTGGTAAAAGGCCGCTGTGATTGGCCTTTTACCTAGTCATGTGATTAGCAGTGTCCATAGGACACAGCAATTACTGACAACGCTGGGTGCGCACTGTGGGGGGCACGTTTTGGGAGGACATCATATGACACACTCCCAGGACTGGACCGTCTTTCGGCTATAGCGTGATTGCAAATTGGTTAAATGGTTAAAGAGACACTGTCACATTGGTCATATATAAGGCATATCCAGAGACTCTGGAAAGGACCCCCACCAAACCTCTATACTCACCTTACCACCCTACCAGTCTTCCTCCTCCCTAGCCAGCACTCAAATGACTGTTACCAACAACCTGGGTGAGCAGCAACATTACTTCCACAGTCATAGGTCAGTACTTGGACCTAGTGATTGGCTGTTGGCCATAATCACTGTCATGGGGATCAGGACACATGGTCCTTCATATTGGGTATTGTGTACTGTCATGAACGTGGAAGGAGTGGCGAAGAAGCACTAATAAGGTGAGCATAAGGGTTGGGGGGCCCCTTCCAGAGACGATATCACTTTGCCCAGCATAGGCAAGGCAACTGGGTATCTTTAGGTACATATTACAATGTACTTCTAGTAATATAATTGTGTTGATATGCAATATGTATATGTGTTCCGATTCGTTTATATTTATGTTTCTGTTACCTCTTACCTGAATGGAACTTAGAAGCAATCCTGGAATCCCAGAGCTACAAGGCCTCCTTGCCGGTCATAATTTTATTCAGCTGCAAGCTTTAGATGAGAATTAAATCTGGAAAGAGCGGTAATTGCTGCTGAAGGAATATTGTGCCAGTTTATCAAGACTTGCATATCAATAGCACGATGATACTTCCCGCAGACACAGTACAGTGTGATTAATGTGTCGGCAAGCAAAGTCCATTTTACTTTAATGCAACTCTGTCAGTGTTTCAAGATAAAATAAATCTTTCAATAATGAAAATCACTGCAACCCTAACTGAGTTCTGATGCTCCTGAACAATATTATCACATAACAGTAGGAGCAAGTCAGTGCATTTAATTACTGACTTATTCCTCACTCCTACGCTAAATAGTGTGGACATCATGTTTTTATTTTGCAGATAACATGCAATTAGGCAATTAATATGCCTCTCAAAGATATTACGTAAGTCGTATTTTTTTTCACTCTGCACCTTGAAATATTGACCTGTATAATGTATACAGAATGCCTGTGTGTTAACTATTTTATTCTCTATTAATTATATTCTGCTGAAATGCATCTATTGTCCTTATGACCTAAATTTTTAAATTGAAGCACATGATTACTGCAGGAAAGAAGGTAACAACATTCAGAAATAAATATGTGCATGGACACGGTCAGGGGCGGACTGACCATTTGGAAACTCAGGCACTGCCCGAGGGCCTGGGGTCAGTAGGGGGCCCCATGAGATGCCCCTGGTACCTTTTTCATAGGCTTTTTTTAATTTGGGTAAGGACACAGGGGCCCCATGATCCCCTATTGCCCGGGGGCCCCATGAGTTGTCAGTCCACTCCTGGACACAGTGTTTGTTTATAGGGTGCAATGCAGCTTTAAGCTAAAGTTTTTTAGTTTAACCACTTGCCCCCCCCCCCCCCCCCCCTTCCCTGACCAGGCCATTTTTTTTGAGTTAATTTAACTGACAATTACGCGGTCATGCAACGATGCACCCAAATTAAATTTACGTCCTTTTTTCCCAACAAATAGAGATTATTTCTGTGGTATTTGATCACCTCTGCATTTTTTTTTTTTGCTCTATAAAAGAAAAACTATTTTGAGAAAAAAAAAAACTATATTTTTGACTTTTTGCCATTAAACATGTCCAGGAAAAAAAAAAAAAAAAATCAGATTGTCATAGATTTAGGTCAAAATGTATTCTGCTACATGTCTTTGCTAAAAAAAAATTTCAATATGTGTAAATTAATTGGCTTACATGAAAGTTATAGTGTTTACAAATGGCGGTATATATACTGGTAGTTTTTTCTTTATTTTTACTAGTAATGGCAGTAAAGTTAGCAACTTATAGAGGGACTGCAGCAGGCATTCTGACACTGAGGGGAACTTGGTGTCACTGACATCCCCAGTGACACCAATACAGTGTTCAGTGCTAATAAAAAGCACTGATACTGTACTAATGGCATTGGGCAGGAAGGGGTTAACATGGGTGGCAATTAAAGGGTTAACTTTGTGTGTGTTTTACTGTAAGCACACTGCTTTACATGGCTCTGCTATGCAAAGCCATGCATAGCAGTGTGCAGGAGCTGAGAGGGTGAGAACTGTATTGTTTACTTACAGTTCTCTCCCTCCATCAGTAATGCTCCTCGATCACTGAGTGCCTGCGGGTAATCACCAGCTGGGACCAGGTGATTGACAGCCAGTCCGGGAATAGCAGAGCGGGCGCGGCTCATGCACGCCCCCTACCCAGCAATGTAAAATCACGTATATATACACAAGTTTCGCTCTCCTGCCACCCTGTAGCAGTATATCTGCTATAGAGTGGTGGGAAAGTGGTTAGAGCAGCTAAATAGATTCCAGGGACATACAAACAAAAAGTCTTACTGTTTGTTTTTATAGAAAGCAGCAACAGCATAAGCAGAAAAACATGTCCCCTGCCAGCATACTACAAAGACTCTCCACTGCCATATTTGGCACCTTTTTGGGGGGGGAGCAGGTACCTGGTTTTGACCGATACCATCTCCCACTTCCAGCTCAGTTTGCCACGGCGAAGTGAGCCAGAAGTTCGGCCCCCTCCTTCCTCCCGCAGTCTCCTGGGAACTTTCACAGGTCCCAGAAGACTGCCGGACAAATCAGGCTGCGCAGCGTGGTGCCCACAGTTGAGTTAGAAGCTTATTGGCTATCATGCAAAACTGCACCATATTCCAAGTGCACCAGTTTTAGTAAATCTCCCACCATGTGTCCTTCACTGCAGCATGCTGGCAGGGGACAGGCTTTTCTATTCAAGATGTGGCTTCTTTCCAAAGAAAGCAAATGTTGCACAGCTTTTATTTGGATGCTCCTATAATGCATTTAGTTGGTTTAAACAAAGGTAATTTGGTCAAATCTTGTATTGTTGCAGCTCATGTGAATGTTGAAAGTAGAGAAGACATTATTTTTAAACTGTCTGGTTAAATTACTGGGCAACTGTTTGGGCGAATCTTGGTAAAAAGACATTATGTCCTTAATCTGTTGGTATTATCTCTTTCTGGTGCTAAAACTTTGTTTATACGCAGTTTTAGTACTATGAGGGTTACGTTATTTAATTTTTTTTTATTCAAAAGTTTAGAACCTGATTGGTCTAGAAAATACAGGTAACTGTGCAATGGGTCTTATACAGTTGCAGTTAAAGCGATTGTAAAGTTTAAATTTTTTCTATTTTTTTTAAAGAACAAACATGTCATACTTACCTGCTCTGTGCAATGGTTTTGCACAGAGCAGATCCGATCCCCCTCTTCTCATGTCCCCTGCTAGTGCTCCAGGCTCCGTTTTCCCAGATTAAGCTGCTTGTGCTCCTGAAACACCTCTGTATGTCTATAACACACACAGAGGCTCGGCCCCCCCCCCTAGATCCCTCCTCACTGGCTGTGATTGACAGTAGTGGAAGCCAATGGCTCCTACTTTTGTGTCTTGGCCAATGAGGAGAGAGAGGCCCAGGAGAACCTCTGCTCTCGTGCACATCCACGGATTGGGATCAGGCTTAGGTGAGCATAAGGAGAGGCAGGCTGAAGGGGGAGCTGCACACTGAAGGTAATGAAAAACCTTCAGCATTTAGAACCACTTTAAACATTAGAGCACAAAATTACAGGTATTGGATAGATTCCAGAGTAAGCATTTTAGAGCTTAACCTACATATATGTACCCATGCATCTCTTTGAAGGTCTGGTGTAGAGTATGAGCCTTATCTTGGGTCTAAGTGTACCAGAGCATTCGTTTACTAAACAACTGTAGGTACATCCAGTATGCTCATTATGGCAGCAACTGTCAACACCCTTACATTTTCCAATTCTTAGGTGGGGGCGCAGGGTATATGGTTACATTTTCTAATGAAAATTATTTCCTCTCCCTACTTCCCAAACTAACCAGCCCCACATGTCATACATGAAAGCTGGTATCCCCATAGCAAGAGATTTGTGAGCATCCAGTTAAGCTGATAGCAGCTGACATACTGTACCTTTAGTACTGGGTGATGCTTTGAAAGGATTTCCCTCAAAAAAAAGGGATCACCCTCCCAAATCAATAATGTCTGATATTGATGGACATTGGGCACTGCTAAACAATTCACCAGTGCATGTAGATACTTAAACACACACAAACATATTATATTGTTCTATTTTATCTAATACTTACCTTTGCAGGTTCCAGCAGCATCCAAAAAATATTCTAGGCATCAGATCCAGCATCAGCAGGTGTCAAGAAGGAGAATAGTCCTACTTCCTCTCTGTTAAAACGTATTTCTTTTTTAATTTCATACATATTAACCTCCCTGGCTGTATATCCGAGTGTAGCTCGGGGTTAACTTTCAGTACCAAAAGCGGTAACCCCGAGCTAAGCTCGGGAATACCCTGCAGCGCTGCTCCGGGATCTGTTCTGCACTTACCTTGTCCTGCGCTCCCGCGATGTCCCCCCTGCAGCATCCCTGGCCATCTCCTCCTGCTGATGCCGGCATCTGTCTTCTGAGTTCCATTCCCTGCAAGCATCGGGACGTACGGGGGACAGAACCGCGCTAAATTTAAAAATGTTAAAAAGTTACATTCACTAAATACACTAAAATCACATAGTATAACATTACTGTATCAAACCATTTCACATACATTTTGTCCCAAGTGCTTTGTCCTGTGCCCTGCCTGCATTTTTACTGTTCTTTCTGCCTGGAAACTGAGAAACGTCCATGGCATCCAGAAAGCTTCCCTTTAGGTCAAAAGTGGTTTTAGACCAGCTAGAGAACAGCGATAGTAAATCAGAACCACTTGCAGAATTGAGTGATAATGATTCGTGGGGAAATTCGTCATCAGACACTGAAAACAATTTTGCGACTGAGCTCAGTGATGTGCAAACTTGGCGCTCTTTTTCAAATTTCAGTGTTTTTGGTTTTATTATATGATTGAATTAAATGTATTAATATTGTATTATTTATTTTATTATAATTTATGATTTCTTGTTTCAAATTTTATCATAACCGGGATGTTTACTAGACTCTTGTTCGGACAGATTTCAGTGAGTTATTCCTAAAAAAAACTACAGGTCTACAATAAAAAAAAAACTACATATTTCCATGCAAAACAATGTTGAGCACAGAAATATTGGCATAATCAGACCGCTAGGGAGGTTAATATACAGAAGAGAAATACACCATACCGTTACACATCATATAATCATAATCATATCCAAAATGGATTCTCAGAAGGCCATACTGATTGAAAGGACCATCTGACGTCATGACAATATATTAGTAACAAACTAACAAGGAAAACAGAAACAAGTAACAAAATGATAATGTTATCCAGAGCCCAGGTCTATCATGCACACCATACATAGGGGTTGATTTACTAAAGGCAAATAGACTTTGTACTTTGCAAAGAATACCCAATCACATGCAAGGAAAAGAAAAAAAGTTATTTTACTTGCACATTATTGGATGATGGAAGTCATCAGAGCTTCTGCTCATTTACTAAGCTCTGGAGCAACTGCACTTGTAGAGTGCACAGTCTATTTGTCTTTAGTAAATCAACCCCATAGTTCCATAAACAAGCAATCAGTGTGATACAACAGTCATTGTTTATAATTTTATAATGTGCAAAGAGGACGTGTTGACCATTGCAGCCAAGATTAATATTCAAACTCTATTTGAGTTCTGTCAAATTTCCCATGCTGGGCACAATTTATATGGTCAGACAACTGTGAGGATGGACTTCCCTGTGCTGTCATTGACCATATTTGGACAATTAGACAGAAATACAAGCTTCATGGGCTACTATATAAAAAAACTAACCAATAAAAAGTGTTAGCAAAAGAATGAAGTCTTTCAAACAAAATAAATGAACTGGCTTGGCCAACATGGTTTAGTAGAAATAGTAAAAACCTGATTGTCATGACTGGATCAAGAGTTTTGGAAGACAAAAACATGTTTAGTTTCAGTATTTTTATTGAAAGTTTCAAAAACAGACAACATTACAGTAAAAAGCAAAAAAGAAGCAAAACAACCTGAGATTATGTCACAAAAAGAGATATTACATGCGAGTCCCATTACTGGCACCAAACAAGCTATCACAAATTCCATATCAAGTATGACATTCATTTAAATATAGCCAAAAATCCCTAAAGAACATAGTACTCCTATTGATCCATTAGTGAATTATCTTATCCTACATACAATCTTTGTAATATCCAAATGTTCCAAGATGACAAAAGGATTTCAAATTGTCATTTTTCAAGGCATATACCCATTCCAGTGAACAATTACAATTTAGGTCATTAACTACATATGAGATATTGGGTACATCACAGTGGTCACATGACCCTAAACCCTGCCCTGCCTCCTGGTGTCACAAACCCCTTAAAGAGCTGGGAGGCGCCAGCGCCAAGGGGTTAAAGCTGTTTTTTTTTTTTCTAACCTTGATGCATTCTATGCATGATGCTAAAAAACCTTCTGTGTGCAGCAGCCTCCCCAGCCCCCCCTAATACTTATCTGAGCCCCATCACAATTCAGCAATGTGCACGAGAGCCTTGGCTCTTTGGGGACTCTCCCTCCTCATTAGCTGAGGCAGCCATTGGCCTTGCTGCTGTCAATCATAGCAAGTGCGTCAATGAGGAGAGAGAGGGGGTAAGCCTGCCCAAGCGCCTCTTCTCCAGCGAGCTGTTTGCTCTATTGGCACTTGGGCAGGAGAGAGGGGACAGGAGCTCCAGCGGGGGACCCAAGAAGAAGAGGATCAGGGCTGCTCTATGCAAAAGCATTGTACAGAGCAGGTAAGTATAACATATTTAATTTTTAAATTGCCTTTAATATCACTTTAACACTTTTTGAAATAATTCCCAAAACTGGGTGGATTTATGTCACATTGATAGAAATCTGCCTGGTAGATGTACGGAAAGTCAAGCCCAGTTCTCATTCTCGTTTTAATTTTTTGGTAGTTTTAATGAAGTCATGAGAACCACTCAGAGTGACAAAAAAATGTTTAGAAAGTAATAAAGGGAAAAAGGATAATATTCCTTGAAAGTGCATCATGATGCGCAATGCGGTGCACTTTCAAGGAATAATGTTATCATTCGTGCGGAGGGAACGCATACCAGTGCTGGCTGCAGTCAGGTTTTTTTTTGGTGTTAATCATTTGTATTAATCATTTGCACTATCACTGGGAATAGCGGAGACACCAAAACATTATTTCAAAGACAAAAAGGAATTAGCTTGTCTGTTTGTATAATCTTATTTCAATCCAGCTCAGACTAAAGATATTTCTATAGACTCGCAATATTATATCTAGTCAGCATAGTTAGATGAGCATGGTGAGTGCCATAGTTGTAAGTTTAAAAAATATACCCCTCCTAATGCTCTTATTGTTGATACCCATTGTTTGCAGGCAGGAGCTCTGCTGGCTGAAACTTCTCCAGTACCCAGAAAACTTCCAGGTGCTGCACTCAGTGATTCCTTCCTCCAGCTTCAGAGGAAGGAACTACAGCATGCAGACTGGGAATTAACCCTTTATTTGGAACTTACTGTATATTGGACTTTCTTTGACATGTTTAAATGGTCTACAGAGTCAAAGCATTAATAGAAGAAGGGGGAGAGGGAGGCCTATAGTAGAGGTCTCACCCCTTCTTAGTGGATTTTACTGGTGGCACACCACCCATTATTAACAAGACACTGAAAAATAGAGACTCTAACTAAAAGAACTAATGGGGCTTTAAGAGGCACCACACCAAAATAAATATATAATACTCAAAATATAAAAGATTACAACTTTATTGACAAGAGTTAAAACCACAGTTATGGTGATGTTTTGGAGCAATCCCATAGCTCAAATTAAAAATCATGTGTAGCTTGTAATAAATAGGCTTATCCTTGGCTAACATAAGAACCATAGTTGACATAATTCCTCCAAAATTGTACATATGATTCAGATGATGGCATCAAGAGGTTAATAAAGAGCCAGTGGGAACCATGAGCATTGGATCCAAGAAGGGAGGGTCCCTCCATCAAAGGTGCATAGATAAGCCAAGTGGACAAGACCGCATATCCATACTTAAAGCATGACCAAAAGTGATTCCCAGACAAATGGTTCCAATTTAGGTAAATATGTTGGATATAGAAGAAAATAAGAATATTTTCCAGTGGCATAGCCTCTTTAGTAATCTCTTGATGCCATCTGAATCATATATATCTCCCTGAGGAAGTGGGCTATTTTCCTGCAAAACCCGTCTGAGAAAGGATTGATGTACAATTTTGGAGCAATTATGTCAACTATGGTTCTTATGTTAGCCAAGGATATGCTCTGCAATGTCATAATGTCATGTAATAAGCCTATTTGTTACAAGCTACAAAAGCTTTTTAATATGAGCTATGTGATTGCTCAAAACCATCACCACAACTGTGGTTTTAGCTGTTCAATAAAGTTGTAATCTTTTACATTTTGAGTATTATATCTTCCTTTGGTGTGGTGCCTCTTAAAGCCCCATTAGCTCTTCTAGATAGGGTCTCTAATTTTCAGGGTCTACAGAGTCACTTTAAAAGGTAAAAGTCAGGGATTAGTGTTAGGGCCTGATTTAGGGTTAATTGATGAGGTCAGATTAAATATCACAGTTTAAGATTATATTATTGCAAACAAGTGTTTTGCCCATGCAAGGAAGTTAAGGTGGAGGTCAAATGCTAAAGGTGCTAGGTTTCAAGGGTTGGATGAGTATAGGTCAAGAATCAGGATCATGTTAAAGAAGATCTATCTATGGTCACAGCATACTTTCTTTTTTAGAACATAAGCATCACAAATGTTTTTTCAATCCAATATAAGCTTACTTGAAAAATGTTCTTACGTGTTGTGCATTCTGCCTCTCTGATGGCCATCTTTTTCCATATCTTCCTGAATTCCATGCATGCTTTGCAGCTTTTCCTCAGCTGTTTAATTTCTAAGGACTACATATCCCATGGTACCTTGCTGCCTGTAAGTAGTGATTCGTGTACTGACTCTGCCTCCTGAAACTCCTCTTCTCAGCACCTCTGTAGTGATATTCACCAGCCACTTTATTAGGTACACCTGTTCAGCTGCTTGGTAACACAAATTGCTAATCAGCCAATCACATGGTAACAACTCAATGCATTTAGGCATCTAGACGTGGTGAAGATGACTGCTAAAGTTCAAAACCAGCATCAGAATGGGGAAGAAAGGGGATTTAACTGACTTTGAATGTAGCATGGTTGTTGATGCCAGACGAGCTGGTCTGAGTATTTCAAAAACAGCTGGGTTTACAGAGAATGGTCGAAAATTAGAAAATATCCAGTAAGTGGCAGTTGTGTGGAGGAAAATGCCTTGTTGACATCAGAGGAGAATGGGCAGACTGGTTGCTGTGACATTCAGATGGTAGGGTCAGAATTTGGCATAAACAGCATGA